ACTGGAATGAGACATTTTTAGTCGGATAACAGTAAAGTGTTCTGCTCTGGAAATAACAAAATCAGAAGCAATGGAATAACTCTAAAACTGAGGCAAGATGTAGCACATTCAGTTAGGGACTATAATGCAAGATATGAAAAATACTATCAATAAAAGAAATGTATTATCAAATTTTAAACCATTTTCCTAATGAATTTAAAGGCATGATGTTTGAGCTGGATTCCAAAAAGGGAATCTCACTTGAGATCATATAACAGAGATCCCCTGGCTGCTGGAACATACCAAAGTATTTAAAAAGAAGATTTGTTTGTACTTGATATACTACAGTAAAGCCTTTGACTGTATGGATCTTGACTATGGATTGTTCTGAAAGAAGTAGCTGTACCTCGGCACTTGATTCTACATAACATGTACTGTAGAGAAGAACCTAATGTTAGGACAAAATGTGGAGAGATAGAACAGTTTCTTATAGGCAAAGAATGCATTTTACCTCCCTCTCTGTTCAGTGTGTATGCAGAGCATTTCATGAGGAAAGCTAGATTAAATTCAGATGAAGGAGGCATAACAATTGGTTGAAGAAACATCAATACTGTAGGTGCACAGCAGCAATGTTTTGAAATTACTTTTGGTGAAAGAAGTTCCAAAGCAGGACTGCAGCTGAACATTAAGATGACTACAGAACTCAACTTTAATGTTGACAGTAAAGAAATCAAAATTGTTGAAGATTTTGTATACTTTGGTTCAGTCATCAGTCCGAATGGGAACTGCAGACAAGAAACCAGAAGAGACTGAGACTTGGAAAGAAAGCAATGAAAGGATTAGAAAAGATCATGAAGTATAAGGATGTGTCACTGGAGACAATGGCCTGATCATCTACACTTCTGTATTCCTGATCACTGTAAACAGATGTGAAAACTGGGCAGTGCAGAAAGCTGAGAGGAGAAAAATGATTCATTTTAAATATGGGGCCAGAGATGACCACCAGAAAGACCAACCAGGGGGGCTTATAGCAAATCAAGTCTGAATTAACTCTGGAGGCAAAAATGATGATACTGAGGCTGTCATACTTTAAGCTCATTATGAGAAGACAAGAATCTCTGGAAAAGACAATAATGCTTGGAAAAGTTGAAGGCAGCAGGAAGAGAGGTAGACCCAATACAAGATGAATAGTCTCCCTAAAGGAAGCCACAGGCTGGAGTTTACAAGAGCTGAGTCGAGCTACTGAGGAAAAGCCATTTTGGAGATCTCTCATTTATAGGTCCCCCATAGGTTAGGGGCAGCTTGATGGTATGTAACAACAACAAGGATTTACAAAGTTTTAAAATATTTTAGATTTCCAGGTGTATCAGTTCACCTCTTAGGATTCATTCACAGTGCAAATCTCATTCCATTCATCCTTGATCAAAAATAATCCCTGAACTGAAGCACTGACATTTTGCATTCCTTTGCCACATTTTTTAACATCATGCTAGTAAAACTAACAGAAATATTGGCACAAATGCTCTGAATGCCAGTATAAACATGCATGCTCAGAGATGACATGAGATGCAGCTTGTTTTTAAATCAGCTCTCTCTCTCTCTCTCTCTCTCTCTCTCTCTCTCTCTCTGTGTGTGTGTGTGTGATGAAGAGGCTGAGAAACGCCGTCAGCTTGGGCTAAAGCCTCATCCTTCGTATTGGGGCGAGACAGAGGCCAAGGAGTGGAGAAGGAAGCTCCGGGAAGAAAGGGAAGCAGTAGCCCGAGAGCTAGAAAGGAAAAAACAATGGCATATAGCCGAATTGAGGAAGTTGGGGGGTTACCTGGCCCCTGGGGAATCGAAGGAGGAGATGGGTCATCCTGGGGTGAGTGGAGTGGGGATGAAGAAACTCTACCGTTGATATCGTTAGAAGAAGAATTGGACCCTGGGCAGGGACCTGTGCCACCTCTAACAGGACCCTGGAACCCAGAGATGACAAACCCCTTTGTAAATAGTTTGTGGACTCCGTGGCGCAGTGGTTAAATCGCTGTACTGCAGCTAAAACTGTGCTCACGACCTGGGGTTCAAATCCCAGGTAGCCGGCTCAAGGTTGACTCGGCCTTCTATCCTTCCGAGGTCGGTAAAATGAGTACCCAGCTTGCTGGGGGGCAATGTGTAGCCTGCAAAATTAAACTGTAAACTGCCCAGAGAGTGCTTGAAGCGCTATGGGGCAGTATATAAGCAGCACGCTTTGCTTTGCTTTGCTTTAAAACCGAGTAACGTTTTGCAAGAGACTCTGAACCCATTTCTGGGGGTGAACCCTGTTGGTGTTGATGCTGCAATAAATACAGAACCATTTGACCTACCACAACTGTCTCGTCCTTTATTTGAAGTGCCGACAGTCCCACCAAACGAACCCTCACACCGTGTCAGTGAACTAAAGTCAACTGGAATGAGACATGTGTCAGTGAACTAAAGTCGACTGGAATGAGACATTTTTAGTCGGATAACAGTAAAGTGTTCTGCTCTGGAAATAACAAAATCAGAAGAAATGGAATGACTCTAAAACTGAGGCAAGATGTAGCACATTCAGTTAGGGACTATAATGCAAGATATGAAAAATACTATCAATAAAAGAAATGTATTATCAAATTTTAAACCATTTTCCTAATGAATTTAAAGGTGTGATGTTCGAGCTGGATTCCAAAAAGGGAATCTCACTTGAGATCATATAACAGAGATCCCCTGGCTGCTGGAACATACCAAAGTACTGTATTTAAAAAGAAGATCAGTTTGTACTTGATATACTACAGTAAAGCCTTTTAAAAAGAAGATTTGTTTGTACTTGATATACTACAGTAAAGCCTTTGACTGTATGGACCTTGACTATGGATTGTTCTGAAAGAAGTAGCTGTACCTCGGCACTTGATTCTACATAACATGTACTGTAGAGAAGAACCTAATGTTAGGACAAAATGTGGAGAGATAGAACAGTTTCTTATAGGCAAAGAATGCATTTTACCTCCCTCTCTGTTCAGT